ATATTTTTGCCCCGCCTTAATATTTTGTTGTAAATGAATATTACTTTTTGTCACAAAAACTAATAAAATATGTTAAGTTCTCCAATTTAAAATAAAAATGACTGGCATAAATGGCAGTTTGTTAGTTTCTAGAGGCTTTGAAAAAACATGACATTTTCATATTTTTTATATTTTCAAAATTATGTAATTTCAAATTCCTATATATTTTTATACATCCACACAAGAAAAGTTTCATCAATGAATCCTAAAAATTCATTTTTTAAGCTTTAGTTTGATATAAAACTTGTTTACATTCCTCAAAGTTGAAAATTTGCTAAATCTGAAAAAAAGTCATGGAATTGCCCAAATAGTTTGTTTTTTTTACAGTCAACATTTCATTTACTCTTTTTTCAGTGTCATTATTTTCATTTTTCTCACTTTTCTTAATTTATTACAAACAATAAATAAATAAATATTATTTTCCTTTCTTCTTTATACCAATGACAAATATCTATTTATTTATTATATTTACTTTTATTTACTATTAATAGCATTTATTTATAAACATAAAATAAAGTAATATTTTCGAATATTTTCACTTCCATTGTATTGTGACAATTATTTAAAATAAATATTTACTATTCATTACTAAATATATTCTTGACAAGTACTATAAAGAGCCTATATAATAATTTTATGACTTATTTTATTCTTTTGTGTATTATGAATTAGAAACTGGGTGTAGCCTACTTAGGCATAAACATTTAGTACTTCAAATGCAAAACTTCATAGCTTCTCTTAATTATGCAATTAAGTGATTTCTAGAAATAGTTTTTTTTTTTACAGTCAACATTTCATTTACTCTTTTTTCAGTGTCATTATTTTCATTTTTCTCACTTTTCTTAATTTATTACAAACAATAAATAAATATTATTTTCTTTTCTTCTTTATACCAATGACAAATATCTATTTATTTATTATATTTACTTTTATTTACTATTAATAGCATTTATTTATAAACATAAAATAAAGTAATATTTTCGAATATTTTCACTTCCATTGTATTGATGTGACAATTATTTAAAATAAATATTTACTATTCATTACTAAATATATTCTTGACAAGTACTATAAAGAGCCTATATAATAATTTTATTTGACATTTAATTTTTTGTTTTTAAAATACCTTCAGTACTTTTGATAAATACTATATTATAGCTATTTTATCAGGTTTTGTGATACTTGTATAAAGCAATCACTATATTTTATTTCTCGCTTTCTTTTTTTTTTATCTATAATAATTTTATGCGATATTTGATTTGTGTTTTTAACATACTTTCATTACTATTGATATATAATGTATTTATAAATAGTTATTTTATCAGGTTGTGTGATACCAATGACCATATTTTCCTTTTCAGTGATATTTCCCTTTCTTGCTTACTTTTTTTGAAAACAATCATTATTTATTATTCTTTAAAGTATCAAAAGTAACAGAACATAGTAGGTAACTACTATTTTAATTTTTATAATGTTTAACAAAAAAGTAATACCTCTCAATCATAATTTTACAATGACTTTCCTAAAATATAGTAATCCATGCTTGTGAAAATTCAGTTTGTCTGGCCGTATAACATAAAGGTACTGTTCTACATATTCAACTTTTTTTTTAGTTTAATACAGTAATTAATAGTGATTTCTCAAAACTATCAAAAAATATATTGATGGGATTTATAATATATGGTTGTTATTCCTGATAGCAGATAAATATAAAAGATATAAAAATCATTCATGAATATAACCTTTTTCATTTAAATTGTAGGCCTAATATAATAAACGCATATTATTAAAAGAAAACAATATTATTTACCCGAAAAAAATATCTGATCCCTGAATATGTTTGGAAAAATATTTAGGTGAAAAAATTATCTGCATACAATTCCACTTAGGTGTGGGGTAGCACAATATATACATACAGTATAATACCATAGTATAATTTAAATATAAAAATACCATTGTGACCATATTGGTCACCTGACCATAAAGCAGACTACTCTTTTGTTTGTTGCTGTGAAACAACAGCATCAGGACCCACTCAACTTCATAAACTTTACTAAAGACAAACAGTACAATACAGTGAGACCTCAAACAAAGAAGAAAGAGAGTAACTATTTTTAGATGATGGAAACAAATGAAAGCTTGGAATATGCCATTATAAAACGTAAATCATGTGATAGAGAAAATTGGAGAAATTAACTGCTGTGAATCTGGCAGTAGGCAGAAAAGATGATGATAGTGAGACAGCTCCATCATTGCAATCGACAGGTCCTAATAAGGATTAGCAGTAGGATAGGGAATTCATTCACCAACCAAGGAGGGAATGATTTAAAGCCCCATTCCCGGCAAAATTTCAATTTTAAAAAAAAATCTAATTTTTGTATAATGTTATAAAGATTTATAAATATAATACGGAATTGCTAGTTTAACTGAATTTAGACATTCCTAAGAATGAAAAAAATGTAAAATAAGACTGAAATTTGATTTTTTGTGTTCCACACAAAAAATAAATGCGGATGAATTTTCATGTTTGATTTTGCGACAGGTCGTCAGAATAAATATCGTAGGCGCCTAAAACATTAGCCTATCCAACGCTGCTAGACTAGGCCTAGCCTTACCTATAGTTAGGTTCTGTTATCACACATGAAAACGGCCGACATGATATTTTCCATTGCTAGTAATGACACTTGTGTAATATAATATTTCATAGGAATTATTTCAAATTTGTTAAAAAACTGATTCTGACTGAGATTTTGACACTTAAACAAACATATCTCAACCTAACCGAACGAACGCATTGTGCGAGATGCGAAGTACAAAAACTAATCTCACTAGAGAGGGTGCACTTTATTGACTGTATAAAGTATACATAAAAGCGAGAGTATTCCAGTGGATGCGATCTACAACCTCTGAATTTGCTTAGTAACGATGAATTTCCTCATTTTTTTTATTCTTTTGCGTAAAACTAAAATTCATGCCAATATTTTTCCATGATTTATAATAATTGGAGTAATGCAAATGCATATTTTCTAAAAAAAAGTCAGTTTTTAGTGAAATTTTGCCGGGAATGGGGCTTTAAATTTAAGATTTTTCTTTTTTTTCAGTTAGTGTATTATTAAGATAGTGAGAAGTTAAGTTTATGGTAGAGTACTAAAGTGCATTAGCGCCCAATCGACTGGCGAGGCCTAACCAGTGCTGTGTGCTACCTAGCCTGGCTGGGCATCAGGTTAGCTAAGCCTGCAATACCTAACCTACCCGCTACAGTATCACTGCCAGCCGCCAGGTCAATAGTTATGCATAGCATTAGCAGCAGCAGGGAGGTAGCCTGGGCATCAATCAAGCAATACTTCTTAAAATATAGCTAATATTAATACTAAATGTACAGAAATATATTAATTATGACCACTACTACCTTTCTTATCATCAATTAAGTTTCGACAAGTTCTAGATAGTCGTAAACACAAACGTGTATTTTAAAAACGTTAAGCTTCTACTCATGCACGTGTCGCCATATTGCCTCGTTTTGTGAGCGAGTCCAAAATACAATGCGGAGGGGATCGATGAATGGCACGTCACACTACAAACAAGCGACACGCCGGGTGATGACGTCATTTTTAAAGAGTACGGTACTGAAATACAGTTATCATGTACGCTGAACCCCTCGAGGTTTAATATCAAAGAATAATAATAGATATTCTATATTCTTTGGTTATAAATAGTTCAGTACCAAATCATCAATACTTTATGGAAAAAAGATCATCTTAATGAATGAAACTGGGAAATGCATATGTACCTTTATTTAGAACGTTTTTGTGTTGTTGTGGGCTTAATTGTGATAGTTTTTTTAAAATTTATATATATTTATTTTAATAGGTGATTTTGCATGTAGAACAGTAGGCCTACTTTCAGCGATTTTATTTTCATCCATTAATTTACTGTTACCGGTACCCAGTCTTTTTATTTATAAAGATGTGCTTTATGTACAATTCGTAGTTTAAATTCTATTATTGTACGTTGTACTTGTATGTTTAATTACCATTGTCCTTCTATCTGTTTTACTGTAAGATGTTTTTTTTTTCTATTACTGAAATACAGTTATATAAATTATAATAGTTCAGTACCAAATCGTCGACCCTTTATGGAAAACGATCCTAAAAAAAAACTGGGAAATGCATATGCATTACTTTAATACCTTTTTTGTGTGTTGTTGTGGGCTTTTGTGATTGCTTTTATTTATTTATTTATTCATTCATTCATTCATTCATTCATTCATTCATTCATTCATTCATTCATTCATTCATTCATTCATTCATTTATTTATTTATTTATTTTTTATTTATTTATTTATTTATTTATTTATTTATTTATTTATTTATTTATTTATTTATTTATTTATTTATTTATTTATTTATTTATTTATTTATTTATTTATTTATTTATTTATTTATTTATTTATTCATTTATTTACTTATCTATATTTATCTATCTATCTATTTATCTATCTATTTATTTATTAATCGAAAGTATTTATTTGTTTATTTATTGTTTTCATTATTTTTTTTAATAATAGGTGTAACAGTTTTAACTTCCAACCATGACCTCTAGTAACAGAATCAATCGCCAAATCGAAAAACAGATCCCCCAATATCCTCTTTTCCATTTAATATTTTATATGTCTCAATTAATTCCCGCTTGATTCTTCTTATTTATAAAGTAGTTAAATTAAAGGCTTAGACGTTCTTCATAATTCACATTTTTCATACATTTGGGAATTTTAGTTGCCCGTGGACCTTTTCTAATATATCTCTCCGTAAGCGGTGACCAAGCCTGGATTGAAAATTCAAGGTTTGGAGAACTAATGCGATATAAAACACCTAATGTTCGCAACTGATTTATATTCAAAGGACCTTTTTATACTTCCGAGTACCCGATTTGCAGTTTTGACAGCACAACACACTGTTTGCTGGGTTTCAAAGATTTATCAATAGCACCTAGGTCTTTTTTCCTCCTCAACTTCTTGAAGAACAATGCCTTCTAACTCATAATTAAATTTAGGATTATTATAACCTAAGTGCATTACTCTGCACTCGGATAATTAAAAAGCATCAACCAGTCCTGACACTAAGTAGACAAATTATGTACCTACTGAAAATCAGCTTGCAATTTCCTTGCATCATTTTCAGTCAAGACAGTTCGAACAATTTAGTGTCATCTGCAAATTTCAAAATAAGTGAATCAACAAAGGTATATCAGTGTCATTAACAAATATAAGAAAGAGCATAGGACCCAAAACTGAGCCCTGGGGTACACCACTGGTAACTGATGCCCAGGGTGACTTCCTACCATTGATTACGGCTCGTTGTAACCGATGTGATAACCAAATTACCAACAATCCATGATTAAAAACCTTATTAATCAATCTTACATGCGGCACATTATCAAAAGTCTTCTGGAAATCCAAATAAATGACATCAACTGGAAGGCCCTTATCAATTTGTAACATTTTTGTCTTTAACCCTGTATTACTTTATATTACTTATCTATTTGATTTACTTTTATGTGCATCAGTGTGATCAGGCCTGATATGTGTGAATCTTGTGTGATAGGTGGTGTTGTATAAAGTATGCACTAAATGTATTAAATTGATTAAAACAAGAAGGTATTCCTTACTTCTACTTACTAATACTTACTTACCTACTTACTTATTACTTAGGCCTACTTACTTGCTTACTTACCTATTTACTTACTTGTTTAACATACCGGATACTTACATACAATTATTTATACTTACACTTACTTATTTGTTACTTACTTACTTACTTACTTATTTATTTACTTACTCTTACTTACTAATTTCTAATACTGGACAGGGGCGGATTATAGGCCGGTACCGCCCCACCCATCCTTTTGGACGGTACAGTAAAAGAAAAAAAAAAGAAGAAAGAAAGAAAGAAAGAATGAAAGAAAGAAAAAAAAAATGATTGCCCAAAACGCCTCAGACTATGTTATATTTGGGCGTCTACAATACGAGTGTTATCTCGATCGGCCCCCACATTTGGCCCTTTTTTCGCCCACCCACCTCCTTTTCGGACATCTCTGTCCGAAAAAAATTAAAGAGCGAAGAAAGAAAAAGAAAAAAATGATTGCCCAAAACGCCTCAGATGATATTTTTAGGTGCTTAGAAAACAAAAATTTCGCGATCCCCTGTGCCAGAGTTGTCTCAATCGGCCCCAATTTTGGCCCCAATTTCGCCCCTCCTCCCTTCTTTCGGACATCTCTGGATCGGCTCCTGCTGGAGCTACATTAACGTATCCATCGTCATTTCATATTTTACTTAATTTGTTATTGTCTTACAATTAAAAATTTGAATGTAGAAAAAATGACCCTGTCAAAATCTCAGTTAATAAGGGACAGTAACCAAATGAAAGTTAATCCAAATAATGTTGTGTCATAAGAATCACTCATGCAAAAATTATATAAACAAACATTACACAATTGACAATTTATGTGCTTAATAAAACTAAGGATCACATCTACCTAAGAATTAATTTGTAATTTAAAATTGAATTTGCATATTAAACAAATTATCGCCAAAACTAATAAAATGCTGAAATTTGTACGTCGTAATTTGTATTTTTGCTCCCGACACGGAACAGATCTTGCTTAAACAGTTGTGGATCTAGGAATTTGAAATAGAAGGGGCCCAGACAGAAGGGGCTTTTATTCCGATAGCACCATTATAGCCCCACCATGGTTTGGGCTGAGACAAGAAAATCCATGATTATGTCTCCTCTGATGGCCAGAAATGGCACTCACTAACTTTAAATTTGAATATACTTTTCTTTTCTCCATCTTTTGAATTTTTTGCCTCCTCCCCTCGAATTCCGCCACTGCTCACTGGCACGCAGTGAATTTGGCCGGTTCCAGCTGTTACCAAAAGTGTCTCAAAAGTCTACATGAAACGTTATTTGAGTTTTGTCTTAAAAGGTGCTTTGTGGCCAAACCAGAAACATATTACAATAATTCCTTAGCAACATTTCATGCTAAAGTTTTGTTGATTTCTACTGATGTTGAATGGATGATATACATATTTACAATCAAAACACTCGCAGCATAAAATATAAAATGGATACATTTAAAAGTGAGTTACATGCACATTTACTTGCTGAATCTATTGATAGTGTTGCTCTTAACGAAACTTTGTTAAATAAAACTGTAGAAGTGTCTGTTAAGAATTTTTCTTTGTATAGAAGAGATAGAGGTAATGGTTTACTAGCTACAACAAACTAAAATCGTGTCGCATTAGCGACATAAAAGATGTCAATCAAGAACTTTTGTGGATTGAGGTTTCCATCTCAAATACTAGATTTCTTCTAAATACTTACTTTTTGGGATATAACAGGCCACCTGGACTCGGCGTACAATCTTTTACCCAACTTGCACACTCTGATTCAGCAATGTACCAGTATGAGTAGTGATCATGACATCATCCTTCTGGGTGATTTCAACGTACCTGATGGGACTCCGTCAATATGCCAAGACGTATTTTAATTAAATTTAAGTCAACTTTTTATTGATACAGGTTTAGAATTGCCTGTATCAGTGCAATTCATCTGTCACGTGCAATAAATACATTTTAGATCTAGTTTTAAGTAACAAACTTTTAGACTGTTCGTGTATCGCTACTGGACTTAACATTTTTAAATCTGACCATGAATCAATATCAGTGTTTTATTCTTTTAAGTTCAATAATAATAATGATGGTTTTAATTATTGTAATAACAGACTTCTTTACAATTTCAAAAAACTTAATTATGCAGAGCTTGGAAACACTTTAAATTATATGCCATGGAACATACTCGAGTTAACTGACAATGTCAATGAGGTTACTTCTTTATTTTTAAAACCCAGCATACATAAGGCCGTTGGTTGTGATGTCATTAATAATTGCATACAAAAGCTGGAGCGATTCACCTTGCTGTTCCCCTTAAAAAAATTAAAAAAAATGATTGGTCGAAGATGTCAGACACTTCTTATTTATTTGCAAATCATTCGAGGTTATAGGGCGTCTGTATTATTAAATTTGAAAAAAAAAAAAAGATCTTGATTTTTGTTCTGAGTCTGCAATATAGGAAACATTTACCGAATCAAATAATTATTAACGAGAAATGCAACTTATACTGGTGGGAGAAACCACTGATCTTAGTGATGAGGTTTTTACAGCATTTGACAAGTACTGCAGAAAATTATTTAAAACTTGCATGGGAGAAACCTTCATATTTGAAACTGGTTTGATTTTACATTGTTGCTTTAAGTTACTTTTCTTTATTCTTCGGTATAATATGCCTAATTGTTAAACCTTTTGTTTCTGTTTAATTCTAATTTTGTTTTCATTGATACTTTTGTTAAGCTTTGTGTAAATTGATTATGTTTTCTTTAACACAAGCAATTTGTTTATTTTAATTTTTAAATTTTTTTTGTTCCACTGTTATGTATTTAATAGGTCTAACTGTTAAGCCTTATGTTTTTGTTTAATCCATTGTTTAGTTTTCGTAGATACTTTTTTTAATCCTTGTCTAAATTGATCATATTTCTTTAATAATTTTTTTTTTCTTCCTTAGTTTAAGATTGACTGCACCAAATGACAAGTAAGAAAGTATAATACATACTCCAAGTATTGAAATACACGCCATCGTGTTGGGATTCAATATTTTGACATTAATTATGTCATCATCAGTGACAAGTAGGTAGAAAAAATTAAAAGTGAAATGTCGAATAAATTATTATTATAATTATAGAGGGCGTAAGTCTCAAACCGTGACTAGTTACACGACAGCCGTATCTTATTATTATAGGTGATTGTTTACAATAATCAGCGGAAAAATCGTTTCAATATCCATTAATCGCTATTTAATCGTATCGGCACAGGACGACACACATGGAGGACTTTTACTAACTATAATAATAGGCAAGGTTTTTAAATCAAAATGCAACATGACGATGTAAGTAAAAGTCAACATAATGACTAAATTTTGAATTAAGCATAGATCAAGTTTAAAAGGGTCTGGGGTAGGCCCAGCTTGAGTACAGTCGCACATCATTGCTAGGCCTAGGGAGGCCAAGCCGCCTTTCTTCTTTTTTAATGTGGGCCCTAGGCCTACCTAAGTGTTGTTAGGCCGCTTTATACCGAGCTCAGCTAGCCAAGCAACGCAAGCAAAGTCGAGTCTACGCAGCGCTACGATACTACAGGTACTAGGCCTAAGCTAGGCTAGGCTTGTAGGCATCTTGTCTTGTAATACAAAAAACCCCCAAAAAACAAACCGCTTTAATAACGGCGACTCTTCTGTAAACGAAATTGTTATGTAGGAAGCCTAGGCTAGGCCTACATCATCATCATAGGATAGGGCACTACGCCCTAGAGAGAGGCCGAAGGTAAGTAGGCCTGTGTGTAACCTAGGCCCTATTTAATTGGAATTTTATTTCTATATCATAACGGCATTAAGTCCCCTAAGTACTGTAAACAAAGTATGTTTTTAATATATTCTCTTCATGACACAATGAAAATAATACTAGGCCTATACTAAAAAATCAAGAAAATACTCAGATTTTCAAAAGTGCTTGATTTATTAAAATTGACCACCAACTTAATTTTTTTAGTTCGTAATTAAAACGGAATTTTATCTAGAATAGGAGTTTGTTAACAAACTTGTGACCTTTTTCAATTTTCAATTAATTATCAAAATTTGTCTTAATAATGAAATAATTGTCTTAATATTAATAAAGTAATCATAACTTCTATTTTCCTTCACAGATTTAAATGAATTTTTCATAGACTGTTCTCTTGGGCATAAATGATGATGTCCCATAAACTTAAAACGTTTTAAATATGTAAACCCCTCCTGAACTCCTATAGCCTAATACAGCCCCCATCTACTGCACATGGGCATGGTCAGTAATTCATGAAGTACGACATGTTATCTATAGAAAGCTCTAAATTAGCAGAAGTATGGTTTTATACTATTTGTATTTTAGCTAAACACACATCATTTCAAAGAGAACATTCAGAGTTGACTTTCCCGGGGGAGGGGAAGTGGGCGTGGTCAGTAATTCATGAAGTACAACATGTTATATGTCTATAGAAAGCTGTTAATTAGCACAATGATGATTTACTATTTGTATTTTAGCTTAACACATATCATTTCAAAGAGAACATTCGGAGTGGACATTCCCAGGGGAGGGGAAATGGCCGTGGTCGGTATTTTATGATGACATGTTATATATCTATAGAAAGCTCTCAATTAGTACAATTATGATTTACTATTTGTGTTTTAACTAAACACATATTTCAAAGAGGACATTCCCGGGGAGGGGAAATGAGCGTGGTTGGTATTTTATGAAGTATGGCATGTTATAATCTGTAGAAAACTCTTAATTTGCACAATTATGATTTACTATTGGTATTTACAAAACAACAACTTAAATCTTACATAAATTGATGTTTGATCTAATAAATTAGGCATCAAAATATTACCAAGACACTTTTGGGTCATGTGATCTGTAAATCCACGAATGGGCCAACCAACGGGCTTAAAAATGATGTCATCATATCGCATCATTAACTATCACGGAAAGCCTAAGCAAAAAAAATCCTGATGTTTAAAATCCATTAAAATCCTCTATAATCATTCAGACCTTGATTTAAAAGGCGCGCGATCGCGCCGGCGCTCCTTCGCGCTCCTCAAAATGATGCGAGGAGAGCAGTCATAGCGCTCCTGAATTTTCCTAGGGAGCGACAAAAGTGTAACAACAGACAGTAACAGTAGGCCTAGTGCTAAAATTTGGCCGTTTGACCAAATTTTGTCGCTAAAAAACAGCTCTCCTCAATTTCTTGAGGAGAGCTGTTAGTAGCTCTCCTGCTTTTTCTTTAAATCAAGGTCTGATCATTTAATAAAATTTTATAAAAACTAAGTAAAGTTATGGTTCAACACTTAATAATTACTAATTCTTAATATTTTAACACATATTTGCCTATTTACGTTAAAATATGCCCGTCTTTATTGCAACTTCTCCGCGAGATCGTCGCTTTTAGTCCGTTGAGGCCCTGTACGCAGTGCCCAGATTGGCAGCAGTTAAGTGTCAGTTTTGCGGTCTAAAGAAATGCTACTGCGGTTTATCGTATTACGTTAATATTTGGTATACATTCAAATAATAAAGCGTGTAATAAAATTTAGTGTATTACTTACGATTTGCTAAAAAAAACGACCTTTATTTGACAGGTAGTTTCAAAACAATAACAAGACGACATGTGACAATTGATGAAGAATTTTTAAAAACATGACCCAATATTGACATATGCAAATGATTTTTGACCTCTAAAACATCGAATTATCCAATCAGAATCCGCTTTTTAAATAGATTTACAAAGCCTGTGTTTTCCCTCTTCAAAATCGCTTATCATTAATTAGAACCTGATTACAGTGAGTGACGTCACGGTTTCTGTCATACCTATATATTTTGTTTATTAGTTCCTATGCATGTAATGCAATAGGAACTATTGTACGTAATTACTTTTCACTGTTTTCCCTGTGTGTGTGTGCGTGTGTGTAGACATTTATGCAAATGTGCATGCGTAAAAAAAGTTTTCCGACATTTTGTTTTTCCTCGCGATGCAAAGTTCAATGTGGAGTTTCTACACTGTTCAGTCAGGGCTCACGCTAACCGATCGACAAGTCGGCATGGGTGAAACTATTTTGGTTTTGCGACAAAAAAAAATCAACTGCTGTAGGCAGGCATTTTGAAGAAGGCCTAAAATTTAAAAAAAAAGGGTTTTAATACTTGCTGAAATACATCTTTTTTAAAATTTTGATCTCCATTTTTCGCTACCTCCATGGGATGTTCTTTTTCTGTTGTATGAAGGTACTATATCCCCGACAGTTGGCTATGCAGCAGTGTACCCTTTGAATGCTAACTGAAGACAAGTGAAGATATAAAGGCAGCAGAATGTCGCGTACATAACGACATCTAGCTTAGGCTTTCCACAAAAACATGAGGCCTAGTTTAGTACAGTAGTTACTGCGATGCGAGGGTGATAGATCGTTTAATCAATGATATCGTGTTATTGTCTAATACGTAAAATACATTTAAATAAACACGTGTAAAATTTAAGAATGCACCGCGTGGGTCGCTTTCTTTGTTATGCGGTAGTATATACGTAGCAGAGTGACATCAGCAAGGCTAGGCCTAGCATAGGGCCTAGATCGTGTACGTTCTTGATTATCGTGATGAAAACTTCGGGTGACAGACGATTGGGCCTAACTGGTGAGGCCCAAGCTATTTTCAAATAATTGTAGTCTAGTAGGCCACTGCCAGCTCCCCCCACTCCCGATATCGTTCCAAACTACTGTAAAATGAAAATACTGTATACCTAGCTAGGCCTAGGTCCTAGGCCTACGAAATTTTTTCAAAGAAATTTGCTAATAATTTGCCTATCAAATTACATTACCAATGTGGTCTAAAAATAAAATCACTATTTTGGGCCATAAAGACTCCCCCTGAATTTTTCACCCACCACACAAATTTGACCCAAACATTTTGTGATTATGTCATTTATGATGACTATGGTTATCATGCATAGGAACGTCTGCAATGCTCTGGTTTGAAATTCATGTATAGTGTATGCACTGTACTATAGAGGGTGCTGTATAGCTGTGTCTGTTTCGTGCATGATGTTTTTCTTCAGTGATTTTAGCCGTTTTGTGGTGTTATTTGCTGTTTATGTGAATTCTTTTTGGTATTCAAAGTTTTATTAATATATCGGGAATATTCCCAAACGGAAGTTGGGGCTAATTTATATTTTTGAGACGGAAAATGAACTTGAATGTCTTGTGGACGATTCTCGTTATATCCAAGCCAAGTCACCATTGTCCAAAGCGATTCGTAACCCAGGCATTGTTTGATGTCGGCACGAACACCTTGACACATGCCTTGTGGATGATTCTGGTCATATCCAAGAAGCCAAGATGCCATTGTTCGTTGTAATTCGCATCATAGGCAAAAACTATTTTGTCGACAAGAACACTTGGACATAGGCCGTAGGACGGTACGACGTAAATATAGTGAGTTTTCATACACGAGAAATAAATTATTAGAATTAAAGGACAAGGGAAAGCCATCTGAGTTATCAGAGGACACTTTGAAAACCATAAAGTTAATTTCACATTTAGCCAGTAGAAGGAAACGAGGGCGTAGAGGCGGTAAGCACATTCGGAGACCAATCTCAGTTGTATTGTCAGCTGCCTCCTATAAACGCGAACATAGAAAGATCCAATCCCAAGTTATTACAAAATACCTTACTCATGTACAGTGTTTGAACTCAAACACTGTAGTCTTGTTAATGGATACGTTGCCATCTTTTTACCTGTGTAATCCTCGCTCACTTAATAATAAGATGGACAAATTTCGTTAAGTTATGATGGCTAACAAATATGACATTTGTGCAGTGTCAGAATCGTGGCCAATCGGTTTAAGTGACCATTCAACAGTTGTATGGCTCCCTAACAATAAATACACGGCCAAAAATTGCCCAAATATAATCCGCACGGTTCGCCCAATTAAGGATTCTGGGATTTGTCAATTTGGATCATGGATAGTTGCTCATGGCTGGTCTGACGTTTTCCAAGCATCTAATACAGTGGAAAAAGCTAACTTATTTAATTCGCCGACGACAACAAGTTTTTCATCCTACAAAACCACCTTTATGGAAGTTTTATCGAAACAAAGTTCAGCGTTCAATAAGGAATGACAAGTATGAGTATTACAAAAATAGAGTTGAGAGACACAAGAAATCTAATCCCGCCAAATGGTACTGCCAAATTAGAGTGATGACGACGGCTAAGGAACCTCTTACTTGTATAATTCCCCCACCCGATGTTGACCAAACCAACTTAAGGATGTGGCGAACACTATTAATAATCACTTTATCTCAATTGACAACGACATCGCCCCTTTGAACATTTCCAATTTACCTGCATTTTTGCCAGCCGCCGAAGTGTTGCCAGAGGTTTTCCCTTGGGAAGTACTCTAAATTATCGAAAATCGGTCAAAAAAGGCAAGTGGTCTAGACGGTTTACCGGCAAGGGTTATACGTGAGTTTTCTTATGAATTGAGCAAACCTTTAACGGATATTTTGAACACGTCATTTAAAGAAGGAATAGTTCCACCCCAGTGGAAACGTGCAATCGTTGTCCCTCTGCCAAAATCCAATCCCCCTATCTGGAATCAATTGCGGCCAGTATCTCTTACCGACCACTTTTCTAAAGTGGCCGAAGCCTTTATTAAAGACTGCTTAATTAAAGATATAAACCCACAAATCGACAACAGTCAATTTGGAAACAGAAAAGGTAGATCGTCCTGCCATTATTTGATCAAGCTAGTTCAGTAAACAATGTTATCAAACATGCCGATTTACAGAAAAGCCTTTCACGACTAATTTTTACGACCGAGTAGACCACAATATTGCTATTTCTATTAGTTATTAGATATGGGTGCTAGACCTGCATTAATTCCATGGATGTGTAGTTTTTTATCCAACCGTTCACAGTGTGTTAGATATCGAAACACTCTGTCTAATTGGAAAAACATTTTTGGGGGTGTTCACAAGGAACCCTTAGTGGCCCAGTAATTTTTATGTGTCTAGTTAATGATGCAGCTAGAATTGATTCTGGTAATAAAATGTCATTAAAATATGTTGATGACCTTACGATAGTTGAAAATACATTCAACAACCAATGTAGTAGCATGCAGATTGAGTTGGACGATTTTGGCAATTGGGCTGAGGTCAACCACATGACCCTCAACCCAACCAAATGCATGTATATGGATATTACCTTTGTGAAAACCCCATCTCTGTCTCTACCACTGAAATTATGTGGACGAGAGCTTCTACAGGTACGTGTAAACGTGCTCAAAATACTTGGTGTAAAAATTACCAGCGATCTGAAATGGGACGCCCACATTGGTGATATTCTTAAGCGTGCAAGGGGTCGTTTATTTCTAATTAGTACTTTAAGACGGTTTGGTTTATCTTTTCAAAATTTAATTACTATTTATACTGGATTTGTTCGACCCTTGCTCTAATATGCAGTGCCGGTATGGCATCCAGGCCTTGCACAAATGCAGCATCTTGCTTTAGAACGCATCCAGAAAAGAGCCTGTAGGATAATGTTAGGATTAAATACTCATCCTATAATTCGGCTCTTGTTGAGTGTAATATCGAGGAGCTAAAGAAGAGACGGGACAACATTTGTTACACTTTTGCTAATTCCCTAATGAAGTCTAAAGAATTCCGTGACTGGTTACCAAAATTAAGATCTGAAGAAAGTGGTTTCTCCCTCAGAAATGCCGACTCACTTTCCATGCCTAAAGTCTGTACTAAAAGTCATAGTCATAGTCCAATTCCATTCATGGTTTAATGACAAAATTAGTAGCTTTAATTTGTTGTCATAATGAAATTTCTTAGTAATGAATTTTTTTGATATGTGCTTGTTTTATATATTGTATTTGCTTTTTTTTTAAAAGTGTTTTCTGTGCTATTTTTTTTAAGTGTTTTCTGTAAATATTGTATTAATTCAGCTTTTGCTGTGACTGCATTATGTTTTGAATAAACCTTGAATAATAATAATTATCTAAAAAGAAGCCCATGCTATTTTGAAGTTAAAAAGAAGCCTATGGGATAGGCTTCTCTTCAAGACTACTTTTGCAATTTATTGAAAGAGGGGGTGGGGGTTAATTCGAGATGAGCTTCTTCTCAAGTTTAAGCCCATTGGGCCTCTATTCCAGGTTTTATTGTATGGTAGGATAAATAATTGTTTATGGTGGTATACTGTAGGCCTATGATGATGTGGTAGCTTAAATTTTTGTTGTGAAAATTGTTAGGCTTGCAAGCAGTTTAAAATTAGGGCCAATACAGTATTTGTGACCAAACAATGATTTGAATAAAGTGAAATGAATGAATCAACATCCAGAAAATCACAGGAATTTTAAATTTGTTAATGCCCCACATCACTGTATCTTATGCGGGGCATAGTCTTCTCTTCTAATGTGTCGAATTGACATATACAACATGTTGTTTGCCTTTTTTCACAGGTATTTTTTAAAACAGGCCTCATTCATTATGGTGGCCAACATGGTGGCCAATACTGTGTAAGAAAAATTGTAGAAAATGTTGCAATTTTCCACATCTTGATAATTGTATATTAATGCCCTTGTCAATTTTTGGAGTGACATTCTTACTATATATATACTGTAATATTAATGTTTTGCTTAATATTTCTTGCACAGGTTATATGGAGTATTATTAATACCACATTCTGCTCATATAAAGTAAACTCAAAAACAACACAGTTCTGCCGCAATGAGTATAATGTGACAGGATTGTGCAACCGGTCAGCCTGCCCTCTTGCCAATAGTCAATATGCAACAATCAGGGAAGAAAATGGTTAGTCTGTGTCACAATGTTCATGTAAAATTATGATGTATCTGTCTTGATGCCTAACCAATGTGTGTTGTGGAAAATGAATTTTCTAATGCTGAAGGGATGTTTGACTAAAAACTCTTAATGGTTAATAATATACCGTTACAGATTTTTTAATATTTTGGTGTCTAACGGCAGAAAATCTATTTTTACTACATATCAAATATTATTTTCTTCCGGAGTCTGACTTTAAGTCTAATCATGTCATTTATTACATTTTGTTTTGTTGCATATACAACTTATGATGTAGAATTTTAAAACAAGCTGAAGAATGGCATCCAAATGGTGCCCTAACTATGTTCAAATAAAATAAAACTACATTTTAACTTTATTAATTTCTCATCAGTAATACATTATTTACAAACACAGGGAAACTTGCTACAGTATGCAAATGTAATTAATGAAGGAACCATAAGAGGACATGGGCCCATCCAATGTTAGAATATTTTGTTTATATTTTCTCAAACACAATATTATATATCAATCCAAGTAAAATTAATCACAGTTAAACTAACTTCCATCACTCAGAATTCATTAAACCTTGAAGCTACATAACTTCATTTGTAGGAATGTGTCAAGGCATTGTTTTGCTATAGGAACTGTATATAATTAATCCCAATTTGTATTATTCTAAAGGCATCTATCACAATTTTTACATCGTATTTGTAATGGTAATGTTTTTGGCAGGTGTTTGTTTCCTGTATATGAAGACTATAGAGAGGGCAGCATTTCCATCCAAGTTGTGGGAGAAGGTCAAGTTATCTAAGAATTATGAAAAGGCTCTACAGCAGATAGATGATCAGCTGCGATACTGGCCTAATTTTATCAAACATAAGTGCAAACAACGCTTCACAAAAATCACACAATATTTAATCCGTATGAGGAAATTAGTTTTAAAAAGGCAGTAAGTGAATAAAATATATTTTGTTTTCTAAATTACTTGTATTGCATTTCATACAGGATATTTATTTATTTTTTTATTGTTACGGTGATAAACATTATTTTCTGGATTGTTGTTTCCAGTGCCCAGTGAAGAAGGAATTAATTATACTTTTAAAATACCTCCTTCTTTTGAACAGTGCAAAGGTCCAAAAACAGTATGATTATACAAGACAAACATACACAATATATGTTCTACATAAAAGGAACATCATATCATCTTAAAGCTTTGTACACAGAGGGCCCCCTGTCGGGAAGAGCCCCCACCCCGCCCTCCATTGGTGAGAAAAACCACAATTTGTTTATATATTTTCTACATATTAGTAGACTGCAAAATCGATTTTTAAAAGATGCCATCCCCAACCCTGCTGTCGGGAACCTCGGATCCCCTTTGGGCAAATCCTGGTGCCACCAGACTGTCCACACTATCAACTTTTCTTTGACAAAAAACTATTTGTATGCCCATATATATTCATGAAGTGTCTATATATAGTCATGATATGATATGACCTTATTAAGCTATGGTCACATGTTTTTGTCAAATATAATTTGATAGTCAGGACAGGGCTTTAGGACATAATCTAATATATTCTCATTTTTTTTTTGTTATTGTATTGGGAAGCAAACATGTTTTTTTTTATTACAACCAAAGATACTATAAATACAAAATAGAGCTCTCCACGGAATGCATGGTGGGAATACAAAAATTGAGGCACCGCCTACTGCTGGATCTAAAACACTTCTGCCAAACTTATGTCACAGTGACTGCATAACCTCCCTTGGCAGAGGTAGAAATCATTGCCATTATCCATAAGATACAAACAATTAGGCATAAATAAATCAAAAGAATAAAACGACAGACACAAAAGCGCAGAATTGTATGACTGGACTCTGATTAGTGATAAAGTTTGTGATAAAGAGAAGGATGCCGCATACGGCTTGATCTACTTGGCAACAGAAGGGCGCCCTGAGGTCTGGACCAGCATAAAAAGATATGACATATATACTTTTGCTATGCGAGAACTGTATCTTGAGTTTAAAGTATCTTTATTACAACTGCCAAGAGTACTACTACTATTTTGAAATATTTCTATAAATGACTGTCTACATCAGATGACTTTATTTGACTAATCATTTGTGATGAAATGCAAATATCAATTTAATTTAAAAAAATTGCTTCATGAATATATGAACCGAAGGTTTGATGTGTTGACTGGTTTTTTACACCAGCATATAATAATTATTTTACAATTCAAAAGTGTTAAGTTTTCTCAAGGAAAGATTCTGTTGCTTAACTATTTATAGGAGGAAACTTGTACCGATCAGTCGTAAGGTGGAAAGGAGAGAAGAGCGGAGGGAACAGAAGGCATTGGTGGCAGCTCAACTTGATAATGCTATTGAAAAGGAGCTCTTAGAAAGACTTAAAAAGGGAACTGTAAGTATTTATAGCTGTACACCATTCAATTGAATTTCTTTTCAGGGTTGGCACTAGTGGGGATGGTACAGTAGTGGGTAGCACCTCCACCCCCCACCTCCACCCCCCATTTTGAGGAGAAAAAAATTGTAATTTTTAGTAACTCTAAAATTGATTAATAAGCTGTTGAAACCCATAATTGTCTTAAATTTTGGAAACCACTTCCAAGAGATTTTGAGAAACGCTGACTTCCAAGAGATTTTGAGAAACGCCCGAACTCGCCCACTTTGCTCTTGTCTGGGACATTCACCACCCTGTCACTCAAAGAAAGCAACTTTGATTGAAAATGATCTACAAAACAATCCTTTGGTTTTTGTGTCTACTGCCCTTGGAGGACAAGTAGGCACTTTGTTGTCTTCTACCAGTTGACCTTGTAAGAGTAAATCCAGTAATAAGGAATGGTGAGATGGCTCATGAGCTAAAGGTAAAAATGAAAAGCAAGTCTACAAAATATGATGCCATGATAGATAAGACCTGTCCTAGTTAAGTTATTCAAGCAAATACCAACACAGAAATCTGCTAGATAGGACCTGTCCTAGAAATTTCATGAAAAAGTGAACCATCTGGTAATACAGTACTGTACATGTGGATGAATTAAAAGTAGCCAAAAAAAAAAAAAAAAAAAAATGTGTAGCAGTAGACACACGCTTCCGCTGGGAGCCTATTTTTGTAATTGTTTATAAATTTTTGTTTTCCTATGTAGTATGGTGATATATATAACTTCCCAGCACATGCATTTGATAAAGCATTAGATGCACAAGAAGAAGAAAGTGAAGCAGAAGGAGAGCAAGAAGAAGAAGAAGAAGCAGAATATGAAGATGAGGAGGTGAGTTTCTCATCTTTAGTAGCCTCCAAGTAAAAGCTCTTCCCTGATGATTGCGGCAGTGGTAAAATCTTATAATTGATTTTTGAAAACTGAAATTACAAAATGAAGATAAATTGCTAAAAATGGATGAAGCACCAGTGGTGGATTCAAGTGTGGGCCCAGCCGGCGCACCCCCTCCCCCACATTTTCCAAAATATAAAGAAAATTTCATCTGAGAGTGCCATTTCCAACCATCTACAGGGGTTTATTTATGAATTTGAGTAGCAGGAGAAATTTGAAAGTAACAGGAGAGTAAATTGAAATAGGCCGGGGTATAGGGGGGCCGCCTAGGCCCCCATCGGGGTCCAGGGGCAAAGCCCTGGTCGGGGGTCAAGGGGGCGAAGCGCCACTGCGCTCCAGGGTATTAGAGTTTTTAAAGCCCATTTGATGGCATTTCTCTACATCATTTT